TTTCTCTTTGTTTCTTGTGCTTTTCACGTTATATGTAAGAAACCATCGCCAAATCCCAGGTTATGAAAATTGCTCAAAGTTTTCTTCTAAGGGTTTTATAATTTTACCTTGTGTGTTTATAAAACTTGAATATGTGGGTCTTTCACCCATTTTAATTTAATTTGTATTTATAGTGTGAGGTAAGGGTCCAACTTTACTGTTTTGCAACGTGATACTCGGTTGTCCCAGGACTATGTGTTGAAGGGATTGTTCTTCCCTCACTGAGTGTTTTTGGCGACTTTGTCAAAAACCGATTAGCCATAGATGCATAGGTTCTAAATTCCCAATTCTGTCTAGTCCACTGATCTTTATGTGAAAGACAATTTTTAGACAGCTTGGGTAATTTAATTATAGACTGGAAATTGGGTAATATTGAAGAATTATTGATACTGTTTGCAACAATAATGTGGTTATGAAACAAATTTTCCTTACCTTTTATATTTAGGGAAGTATTTAAGCATGGAATAAAATATAAAGATCTAGCTTTAAAAATGACAGTCAAACTTTTCTTAGAAGATAAACAAGGGTAGATGAACAAGTACAGCAAAATATGGAAAATTCTTTAACTTGGAGATGAGTAAATGTGTGTTCATTATCCTATAATCTCGCCATCTGTGCACATTTGAAAACCTGGATAACAAAAGTTGAATTAAATCGTCTTGGTGGAAGGCCTTGGGCTTACCCACTAACAGCTAAATTTAAATTTGAATTTTGGAATAAAGTCAGAAGCTGAGAGACTTGGGGAAGGTCTTTTATTGCTGTGTAACTCCCCCTCCTGCTGTCCTCCAGTCATTGTATAGACTGAACTTGCATTTTTTTCCAGCAAGACCTAGTAATCAACTCTCATGGAATTCACCAAAAATTGAAAAAGACTGGAAATGATATCTGGGTTATTTTTGCCGTTAAAATGATTTTCATTTTCTCCTGAATGATAATCTGCTGTACTTGCAACATGTTTTACTTAGTTATTTTTACTTTTTATTTATTATTTATTTTTAACTGAGTCATGCTGAGGCATCCCATCAGGGATGACCACCATGGTGTACCCACCACCAACTCACCCATATTCCACCTCCACAGACCATTGTGCTTCCTCCCCTCTTGATTCTTTCCACTCCCCCACACCCACCCTTGCTGCTTCAGTTCTGTACTCGGCTGTCAAAGGTTAGTTTTTCACCTGGTCTTTATCTGACTATTAATTGTGTTACTTTATATTTCACGGATTAGTATTTATTTTTCTCCCTCTGACTTGTTTCACTTAACATTATCCTTTCAAGCTGCATCCATGTGGACATAAATGGCATGAGTTTATCTTTTTTGATCGCTGAGTAGTATTCCACTGTGTATACATACACACCACATCTTCGGGATCCAGTCCTCTGTTCTGGTAACATATTTAATTACACCCCTGAACATAATTCCCCTGAACAGACTCAATGAGATCATGTTACAGGAGACTCTCAGGAAAACTTCCTGAAATGCCCACACACATGATGAACCCACATATATTCTATCATCAAACCATGTAGTCTTCCCATCAGACAGGTGATGCTGTAACTATGACTCCTGCTCTCAAACAAGATTCAACGAACTGTGTGCCTTTTCCTAAAAACTGTGTGCCTTTCCTAAAAGCCTGTCCATGTGAAACCAGCCTGGAGAAATAGACAATACCCTTCAGTTCTCTGATGAAAATTTACTTCAAACTGTGCTTTATCCAAGGTGCTGTGTTAAAAGTTCCCCTTGAGATCTGAATTTCTGTTTGAAAATTATGCTTTATATTTACATTTATAAATATATGCTTAGATGTATGAATATAGATAACCTTCCATATATTTAAAACATTTTGGACACACATATTCATAAATTATAAAACCATATATCTTACATGTCTTCATACATAAATATTTACATAAGAGAGAACACTTGTTAGTGGTAGGTATAAAGTCACATATGGCTTGGTATAGCTCTAAATCCCTTTGCGTGACCCATGAACAGGTTGAAGCCAATATGAGTTCAGGAGGTGGCAGGGCCCCACCCTGGGGTGGGGTTGGGTGGTGCCTGGGTGAGGCCTGCAGCTGTAAAGGGTCGAGGTTCAGCCTCTCAGGCCTGGTGGCACCTGCATCTCCCCGCTATGGGAGAACCACAGCCAGATTTGCCAAGAACGGAGCCATGCATATTTTGACAGGCTAAACAGTAGTGTTATTTATTTTTAGGAAGACCATTATTTCATTTTCCCATCAGGTGGCTGAAAAGTCACCCATTTACAAAGTACCCGCTGAGCAAGTGGGCACCTCTGTGCCGCCTTCTCCCCGCCCTTAGTCTGCGACCACCGGTCCAAGTGAATGAGAGTTCTCAGTGTTGGCCTCACTGAGGAAGGTTTAGTTCTCACCCCTCTCCAGGCTAACATGGGCCAGACCTGTTCTGGACTTAGGAGTGGCTTGCTGAGCTGAGCGTTGGTGCTGGAGAAGCCACTGTCCTACATCCAAGCAAACATGAAAGGCACAGCAAGCTTGGTGCTGGATGGTCTGTGAAGTTAGAGGCCACATTCCTCACCCCCTTTTCCAGGCAAGCTTCCCATCCCGGCTTGGAATCACCTTCTCTCGGAAGCCCTCCCTGATTCCCCAGACAGGACTCAGGGGCCCACTTTCTGTGTGTTTTGCACACTGTGAGGTCATTTCCATTTCCAAGGCGGCCCTTGCACCACAGCTCCTCCAACCCTCCTTCCTTTAGCACAGACCTAATAGGATTCTGAACTCAGTTCTGGAAAACTTGAATGGAGAACCACCACATTCCAGGTACACTCAATGTGACTGAGGCTAAATGGTTAAATTGCTTTCAGAATTTAAATCACAAAAGTGGGGGGGAAAAGGTATCTAAACTTTCCTCTGACACTTGTTTTTCACAAGGACAGCAGTGCCTGCAGGCTTCTCTACTCATGTTGAGCTGAGTCCCCAGGCAGCTGGAGCCAGGAGACCTGAAATGCAGAGGAGAGGGGCCACCCAGAGGCAAAGGGCCAACAGAGCCCCCAAACCCGGGTATCTGAAGAAAATCTCCTCATACTGCTCCTTGTTTAAACGGCCCTATAACTACCCCTTGAACCTGACCAAGTCTCCACATGTCTTTGCCTCAGCCCACTTCTTAAGCCAATAAAATTGAACTCCTTTGTTGTTAATCCTGATCCCCAAAATCCTATAGAACCTCATCCCCTTTCTTAGTTAGGGAAGCAGATTTGAGTTTATCTCCTGTGTCCTTGCCAACTGATTTGCAGTTAATCTTCTTGTTGCAAACCCCAGTGCCATGGTATCCGGCCCACGCGTACCCAGTTCCGTGATATCAGTAACCTGCATGACAGCTACCCAGCAAATTCTATGGCATTGAGGACCTTCTAGAAAGAAATGAAAGGCTTTAATTTTGAACCTCTGGGAAGCTCTATTCTAGTCACCCCTGGAATGTGCTGGGGAGAAAAAGATTAATGACATCACCCAGAAAAATGTCTCCTTTTTTGAGAGGTGAAGGACAAAATGTCCAAGCCCAGGGAAAAGCGGGAAGTGAGACATCTGGAAAGAGTTGTCCATATAGACCAGGACAGAGGCAGCTTGCAAAGGTGCAAAGGTCAAAGGACATGAGCCAACCCTAAATGAAGCCATTTGGAAGCCAGTTTCATTGCAAAATTGCCCTAACTGCATGCGCTTGTTACCTCATGCAGCAGCGCGCAATGTTTTGTTTCATTTCAGGGTGAATAGAGTACTACAGTATGTCTAGAACTAATGTTTTCTATAAGACTTCCTGTCTTCCTCAGAGACCCCACTTCTGACTTTGCCCTGGGGAGCCCAGAAATCTTGTCCCCCACCTCTGCAAATACAGGAAAAGTAAGCAAATTAGGTTTGGATGGCCCGTGAGCTAAGAACGCTTTGTACATTTTTAAAGAGCGGTGAACAAGCAAACAAAAAAGATTATGCAACAGTAAACAAGCAAATACAAAATAATTATGAATAACTAAATATAGGGCCTCAAGGTGGCACTGGGGTTAAAGTCTCTGTGCTATCAAGCTATCACCAGCCACTGGGGCCTGAGTTCCATCCCTGGCCAGGGAGCTGACCCACATGTGATGCTACAGACCTCTCCTGTCTCGACCGCTGCTCCCCTCAGCATTGATTTCAGTGGATCTGCCTGTTCTGCTCCCCACTCCTTCTGGTGAATCCTTTCACCCCTCCACCCACAACTTTGGCCTCCATCCCAGTTCTTGTATACATAAGTAAAAAAAAATTTTTAAATGATAACAACTAAATGTATGTTTTACCAGTAATCTTGCTCCTAGGATCCTAGCCTATTGATGAAGAGCAAAAATATAGAAAGGCAAAGAGAGTTTTTAAGAATGTTTAATAAGCCTTGCTTATAGAAGGAAGAAGTGGAAAAATATAACTATCTGAATGTTAGTTAGTTGAATAAACTAAGTGCATGCAGGCCAAGTCATTTTATGCAGTGATCAAAAAGAATGTAGCAGATTTTAAGGCTGTGAAGATGGCCATACCTTATCGACAAGTTAAAAAAGCAAAGTAAAGAGCGATATAGCCTTCTGAGACTAGATTGTGTTTTAATGAGGTGACACTTGACATTAACCATATCAGACACCTTTCAAAATAACTGGGAAAAAAGATCAAAACTGCTATGAACGTTTTTCCAGAAGCATGACCTGCATTAGTAAAAAGGAAAGTTTCTTACTGAGTTTTTCAGTACTTTTTCCAAAAACATTACTTTAAATTGCACATGGGAGTTATAAACAATGACACCAGTTGTCTATCCTGACATACAATGAAAATATTTGACAAAATGATCCATTTGATCAGAAAGGCATGCCAAATGCAACACGTGTGAACAAGAAGTCACCATCCAGCAAGGACCCAGGTTGTTTTAAGTCATGGCCAGATTGTTCTTGATAGGCTGAAGGACAGGTGACTTACCTTAGACAGTGGTTTTAGCTGGTGGCAGTTGATGCCTCCAATGAAGACCATGTTGGGCATCACGGGTCTTGGATATTCCAAAACAAAGTCAGCTCGAATCAGCCAGATGGATGCATGGCTGTAGAGATCGTAGGGCGTGACGGGTGTTTGCAGGATCTCAGAGGCAACCTCTAAAGCAGTTTTGAGAAAATAGGGGCAAAATATATGTTCCTGCATGTGCAAGTAATGATTCTGCATTCTCTCCCAGAAAGTCATGACATCTGAGAATAACGAGAATGTCCTAGGGACGTAAGAAAGAGGGTTGGGACTCTGTGTCCCTTCGTCCGTATAATGGCAAAAAGCTCCCTGGTGAAGATCACAGAAGGGACTGACAGGTACTTGGCTACAATTAAGCCACACATGTCAAAAGGATCTAGAAACACAGCATCAAAAGTACTCTCTTCTAAGAATTTCACTAATTTTTTGTCCTTAAACAAACCCCTACATTGTGAAAAAAAGTATTCAAAAATAGAGCTGCGAGCTTTCAACATAGCAAATAAAGCATTTCCTCTATCTTCCCACTGAGCATCCGTAAAAATCTTCAATTCTTTGTTCACCTCCTCCGCTGTGTGACCTGTGGCATAAATCTTCAATGTAAGGTTGAGGTGGCTGTCCACATGCAAATTCATCTCTGGCGAGACCATGACCAGCTCATGTCCTCTGTGGAGGAGCTCCTTCACAACCTCTCGCATGGTGAACCAGTGGCTCCCGCCCATGGGCACCACCAGCAGCTTGCCTGCCTCTGCAAAGCCGGATGTCAGCAGGAGAGACACACAGAGTGGCAGGAAACCAGTCAAAATCGCAGGAGCCATCATATAACTGCAGCCCAGAGCGATCCAAGGATTCTAACCTTGTGTAACAGTTGGTGGCAGGACAGGTATAAAACCTGCCCTAGGAGAGGGCGTGTTTTCATGCATTCAAAAGAAAGATTAACTCGTGGCCAATGATTGGCTCACAAGAACGGTAGCTACTGAGTAGTGTATTCACAGGCAACTGTTTGTTGGTGGCAGATAACAGTAACTTTTGCTCTTTGGCTTAGATTCCGTGAATTGTACTGCAATACCCATTTAGAAACCTAATTGTTAAGCAATGTTTTTAGACCTTGAGGACTCAGAAAGATTAAAAAAGTTTTTTTCAATAAAACTGATATTGTTGAAATTTGTCTCAAAGTAAAATTTGTATTTTACCCTCAGACTACCAAAGACAGCCCAGCAAAAATATTGGCATTTCGGGTGCCAAGGAAGCACTTGAAGTCCCTGGCCCCCACCACCTTCCAGGCAGTAGAGGTAGAATTCCTGAGGGTCTCTGCAATGCCTGGCAGGGTCTTTTTTTTTTTTTAAGATTTATTTATTTATTTATACAAGCACTGGGTACAGTCAGAAGTGCGGGAGGGTGAGAGAAATCACCAGAGCCAGAGCAGGGAACAGAACAGGCAGACTGGCGAAGTACACTGCTGAGAGGAGCAGCAGGCGTGGGAGGGGAGCAGCAAGCGTGGCGGGAGAGGTCTGTGCACCATGTGGGACCCTTGCTGGCGGCTGGCCTGGGATCAAACGTGTGCTGCAGAGGCTGTGCACAGCTTCGCAGCTCAGCGCTCATCCACTGCGCCACAAGGAGAGACCCTAAACTATATTTTTAATTAAACTAAATTTGTGATTTTCTTTTCTACAAATAAAACCTTAATCACAGGCTACTGATAATTGCTACCGGACATGGGAGGAAGAAATAAGACAAATTATTATTCTGGAATATATACTGGAGACTAAACACAATGTACTCTAAGAATAGAAGTACAGGGCACTTCCTGATTCATTCAGTCGAAAAGAACTTCAACAGAATTAGTGTGCAATAGAGAGAGAGAAGAGAGAAAGGACACAGTTTCCCAATAAAACACCCAAAGTTACATCATAGAATCAATCCATGAAAGTAGCATTGCCATACAGTATAACTAGACAGACACTACAAGAAAGCAAAAGACTATAGAACAATACCTCTCAGCAGCACGGATGCCAAATGTTTAGTAAATCAAATTCAATAATATAAATATACAAAAAGATATAGATTACATATATGTATAACATAAAAATATAATACACCAAACGAAGTGGGATTTACCCCAGGAAAGTAAGTCTATTTTAACATTAAAAAAAATTAATCAGGGTAACTACCATATAAATTAACTAAAAAAGTAAAGCCATGCAATCATCTCACAGACACAGAAAGTATATTTGACAGAATACAGCATCCATACCTGAGAAAAATTCTTTGCAAAGTAGGATAAGAAAAGAAGTTTCTCAACCTAAGAAAGGACATCTACCCAAAAGTTACAGCAAAATCACACTTAATGGTGAAGAACTGCATGTTTACTTCTAAGATCAGATAGAAGTCAAGGATGGCTGTCTCATCACGCTTATGCAACTTCTAGAGATTCTATCCAGTGCAATCAGGCAAGAAAAAAAAAAGCATTCAGGTTGGAAAGAAAAGGAAAAATCTGTTATTCACAGACATGAGCATCTCTGTAGAAATCCCAACAAAATCTACAAAAATCTCTTAAACAAATAAGTTCAGCAGGGTTGCAGAAGACAAGATCAATACTCAAACAAAGTTGTTCTTTTATAACAGTGTAATCTCCACAGGAAGGGAGGTTTCATGCTCCCTGCCCCCACCTAAGGAAGGGTGGAGCGGAGCAGCCAGGGAAAGCTAAAAAGGACAGGGAAAGGACCTGGGGAGAGGAGACTTGGAGGTGGTACATGGGGCAGAGGGATCATGCTCAGCAAAATAAGCCAGAAAGAAAAAGAAAAATACTGGATGGTCTCACTCATAGCCGGGATTTAGGAAACCTAAATAAGTGAAAATAAAAATCAACAAGCAACTATTAACCAGGGACACACTATTGGAAGGGGTTGGGAAGGAAGGATTAGGGTCAAAACAAGGGGGGTGGGAATTGTGTGAGGATATAACCAAGAGGAAATGCATACATTGTGCAAAATGAAAAATGATGTAAAAAATATATAAAATAAAATAAAAAAGAGAGAAAGACATATGAAGAAGCACCCACACTTGCTTCTCAGTCTTGGGCTTGCACCAAGGACTTGGGGGACACAGAAGATATGTGTCTGAGAGACCCGAGGGCAGGCTGACCATGGTAGCCTTTATCTTGACATGTGCTTTGATTTTGTTCCTTTCCTTCCAGACTTGTCTGGCCCTATCTACCCTTTCCTGTGGTTCACTGCCAGAAGTGCCATAGACAGCTGGCAAGCTTTCAGGCTTCAGTGGCCCTGCTTTGGTTAAACCTGCTTGGCTGGGCATTTACGCACGAGGGATAAGTAACTTGGGGGGTTTCATTGGGAATATGTGCTTTCTCTCTCTCTCTCTATTGCACACTAATTCCATTGAAGTTTTTTCTACTGAAATTCTTATGCACTAAGGGTATGTTTTGTCTTTATGCTGTGGATGGCAAAACCTATTTAGGGCATGCAAGATTTTGGGGTCTGGGTGCTCCTTCATTTCCCCACTAACATTTCTATACTAGGAGTGAACAACTGGAAATTGGAATATCAAATACCATTTAAGTAGCATTGTGCATATGAAATATTCTTTTAAAACATGATATGTTTAAATGATAGCTCCAGCAAAAGATGTGAAAGAATGTACACTGAGGTCTTCAAAACTTTTAATGATTTGAATAAATAAAAAAAAATTCATGAATTGGAAGACACAAAATTATTAAAATACGAATCCCCAAATAGATCTATAGATTCAGCACAATCCAACCCATATCCCACATTCTTTTCTTCTGAAAATTGGAAAATTGAAATTTCTATGATTCATATGGAGACGTAAAAAACCTGTAAGAGCCAAAACAACTTTTAAAAAAGAACAAAGTTGTAAATGTTATAAACTGAACATTTATATTCCTCCCAAATTCATATGTTAAACTCTTCCTTTTGGTATGATGGTATTAAGAGGTGGGATTTGGAGCAATAGTTAGTATCAGAGGAGGTTTTGAGGATGGGCCCTCAGGAATGGGATTAGTGGCTTTATAGGCATCAACGTATAACTTGCTTCCTCTTGTACATGGCTTGTTAGCTCAGTGGTTAGAGAGCGTTGCTAATAGCTTGCTTCTGCTCGCTGAGTCTCTGTTCACCAGAAAGGATACAAGAATTTGTCAGTCTACAACCCCGAAGAGTACTCTCAGCAGCACCTGAGCCTTTGATAACTTAATCTCCCACATCCAATATCCAGAACAGTGAAAAATGAATGTCTGTGGTTTATAAGCCACCCAATGTGCACTATCCTGTTATTGCAGCTGAACTAAGCAAGACAGAGGCCAAACACTACCTCACTTCAAGACGTATTAAAAAGCTAGGGTATGGGCCTCCCTGGTGGCACAGGGGGTTGAGCGCAGCTCTGTGACTTTGTCTGCAGCCTCTACCGTGCAGGTTGGATCCCAGGCTGACCAGGAAGATACCCACAAGGTGAGGTAGACCTTTCATGTCTTGCCCACTGCTCCCGTCAGCAGTGTTTTGGACCCTCTGTCTGCCTGTTCTGCTCCCTGCTCTGTCTCTGGTGAATCCTCTCACCCTCCCACACTCTGGCCTCCACCCCAGTTCTTATATGCATAAATAAATCAATATTTTTGTAAAAAGCTGGGGTAATCGAGTAGTTCATAAATAGGTCAATAGAATCAAATAAAAAGTCCAGAAATAATGCACAGAATGATGCTTCTTGTGTACAAAGATGCAAAGGAAATTGATGGAGAGTGTTTTCATCAATTGGATATCCCCAAGCAAGATGACATTAACTTTGGGTGTTCTGTGAAAATCTGAAACTCTGGTCTGATCATGACAAACATTCGGATAAACTCAAATTGAATTACCATCTACAAAATGCCTAACCAGCACATGTAAGCACGTTCGAGGTCAGCAACGACAAGGACAGTCTGAGGCCTGATGCTTTGAATAAATAAAAATATAAACTATGTTTAGTCTGGAGGAGACAGAGACATAAACCGAAGTAGGAGTTACATCCTGGATGGGGTTCTGGAAAAGACAATACAGGAAAATGTATTATATCTCATTAAAAATAATGAGATCTGGATGATATATAGATTTTAGTTGTTCATAATCTATCAGCATTGGCTCACTGGTTGTGATAAACACACAATAATCATGTGAGACGTTAACCACAGGGAAAGAGGTATAGGATACGAGGATTTTTTTAAACCATTTTTCCAATTTTGCTGGAAATCTAAATCTATTCTCAAATACAATTTTTATTTTTAAAAAAGTCTATGCACAGACTGGGAAAAAAAATATTTGCAGGGCCTATCGCTGATAAAAGATTTATATCCAGAGTACAGAAAGAATGCTCCAACTCAATAATGAGGAAGAAAAAAAACCAATTTAAAAAGATAAAGATTTAAACAATCTGCCCCAAAGAAAACAGAGGAAAAACAGCCCAGGGGAAAAATGCTTTAGGTCACTTGTCATTAAAGAAATTCGATTAAAACCACAATTTTTATTAATACACCTATTACAATACAAATCCTGTGAGCTTTCAGAGAGCCAGAACTCTCCTGGAGCTAGAGAATCCTGTGGCCATTTTCTTCAAAAAATGAACACCCAAAAGCCAGGTACTCTATTCCCAGGGATTTCCCTGAGAATAGATGGCATTTCCTGTACTGGTCATACATTTTATTTTTGTACATTATATGTTCTGACATGTTGAAAGACTTTCTGGCTGGGGACAGACGGCCCCTCCCTAGACTAGCCAACCCTTGGCAACATCAAAGGGTCCAGTCCATTGCCATTCATGTGCAAAGTAACCAACCCAGAGCCAGGTCAGCCATAGCCCTTCCCCTTGACCACCCCAGGGCAGGGACCAGG